CGGCCGGAGCCCCGCACGGCGGGCTGTCCCCGCACGGCGGCCGGAGCGCCGGCCCCAGGTAAGCGCAGCAGCGGCGCCCGGCCCGCGCCCTGGGCCCGGCACGCACCCGCCGGGGCACCGACGCCGTTTCTTAAAAATAACTTGAGCCTCTGCCCGTGGAAAGGTGAAAATTAAACCCATTTCTCCAGCCCACAAACGGACGCACTAAACACTGCACTAAGTTAGCCCAAAGCCCGTGAACATAGATGTGCTTTCCTCTAACCGGGATCAAGTAGCCAGCAGCAAAGCACGAATGAAAGCTATCTCCGTGGCTGAATGCATATGCTTTTTGCCCTTCCCTAGTCACAGAAATCCATCATATTACCAGGTAATTATCCATAAAACTAAAGCTGCCTTTATTATCCAATTGTAYTATTTTTAGAAAATTTCTTTTACACTGCTTTTAACAATAATGACAGAAACATAAGGAGACATTTCCTATATCAGTTGCAAAGCCAGCATATTACCTGTGCTGATTTAGGTCTTCGTTTTTCTGTTCTGCATTTTGAAATAAATGCTCATTTTGCACTGGCTCTCCAGTGCACTCTCCTTTCATCCTTGTGTAAGTGCTGCAACAGCAAAAGGCTTTAATAACTTTGGCCTGTTCCTGCCATCCACTCCTGCTGCTGTAATATTTACCAGGCAATAGATCTCCATTTACATCAATTCAATTGCTAGTCTAAGTCAGGTGCATCAAAAACCGTTACAATTAAAGTTACAGTGCAATGATGAATGCATGATAAACCAGACACAGAGCAATTCAACAGAATGTGAATAATTTTTCCTGATAAAATATTAATTTTTTATGAGGTTATTTCTCCACAACATGAACAAAAGTTTATATAGCTAAAAATCTTTTGAAGCTGCACAGAATCATAGAATATCCTGAGTTGGAAGGAACACACCAGGATCATTGAAGTCCAGCTCCTRGCCCTGCACAGGAACATCCCAAGAATCACACCACTTGCCTGAGGACATTTCCTAACTGCTTCTYAAACTTTGTARGGGCTGGTGCTGTGACCACTTCCCCAGGGGATCCTGCTGCAGTGACTGCAGCACCCTCCTGRTGAAGAACCTTTTCCTAATATCCAACCTAAACCTCCCCTGACTCAGTTTCAGGCCATTCCTTCAGGTCCTGTCTCTAGATCCCAGAAGGAGGAGATCAGGGTCTGCCCCTGTTTCCCCTCATGAGGAAGCTGCCAACTGCTATGAAGTCTCCCCTCAGTCTCGTCCGGGCAGAACAAGCCAAGTGACCTGAGCAGCCTGCTCCCTGTAAGGCTTCCCCTCCAGGCCCTGCACATCTTGGGAGCCCTCCTTTGGACACTCACAAACAGCTTTCCATCTTTTTCTGTTGAGGTGGCCAGAACTGCCCCAGCGCTTGAGGTGAGGCTGCACCAGTGCAGAGCAGAGCAGAACAGCCACCTCTCCTGACTGGCTGTTTAACAGGGTTGTATTCTGATGATTTTGGCCTTCCACTGTTAACTGTTGTTTGCATTATTATACCATAAAGCACACACTGACAAGTCAAAGGCTAAGGAACACTAAACCAGAAAGAAAAAAGACAGACTATATACATCACATGGGAATATTATAATTAGTCACATTCAGTCAGTTTAGCAGAAGTTGACATATTTCAGAATGTGCATAAGAGTGGCTCTGATGGAATACASCATTATTTAACTTATATGCATTTAAAACAAGCAACTGCTGATGCTCTCCTGGCTATTTCCAAATGACTGCACCTGGTAAGGCTTGTTTTAAAACTAAACTGTATTCTGAAAAAGATTTCAAAGCATAGTTCATCAAGTGTCCCATTTGAAAAAAAAAAACCCAACATTTTCTAAACATATTAATCAGCTAGGCTCATGTTTACACAGTAATGGATGCACAATGTGCAATTCAAGTGCATTAAAAACTCAGTTATGTCACTCATTACACTGTGTAGCCCATACAGGAACGCTCACACAGYAGTTGAGACACACATGAACAWACACAACCAGTATTGATTCCCATAAGTCATACTGAAGTCCCTCTTTTAAGGACAACCAGTCCCATGCCAGGTAAGTGATAGTGTACATGACAAATTCTTGCTTCATCTCTCCACAGTGCAGGAACTCAGTCCTGCTGGTACCAAGTTGTATTTATGAGATGCTGACTGAAGGTGATGAAAGCTGAGGCTTTCAGCACCTTTCCAGACCACAACATAAAGAGCAAATGAGAAACAGCCCAGAAGAAGCTCTCATTTCATTATCAGAGGAAAGTAGATCCTTAAATACTTACTCTTTATATCATCAGGAAGCAAATTATGTTAATAAATGCTTATGAATTAATTATAATTTCAAAGACAGTTAACTCTTAGCATTGCATGCAACCGGTTTATTTAAAAATACAGGTCCATGTAAGTGATGCAAKCATTTTGATCTACTTCTAGCAGTTCAGAGGTAACAAGAATAGTGTTTGAATCAAACAAGGCAGTCATTTCATATTATATAAGAAACAGAATTRAGAAAATGAACTGAGCTCATCAGAGTAAATATATATCATGCATTAGTGACAGGAAACATGGAATGACAGACGGTGATTATAACCCTGAAATGAGTGATGAAAATACAGCTGTTCTCATTTTTCTGTGTTTCTTAAACTTTTGACTTTCTCATCAACTGACTTTTACTCAGCAGTCCTCACTGTCCACAACACACTGCTTACTTTTTAAAAAAAAGCCAAGTACTTTTCTGAGCTTTCTTAACACATAGAAAATAAAGACTGCTTTCTAAGCATTATCAACCTTGAGGAGTGGCTACAAATCCCTAAAGAACTACTGTATCATCCTAATGTGAAACAGAGTAATTACTTACAATTAATATGAATAAAATGTATCTTTTAAAGGAACAGCCAGGACATAGAAGAACTTGTGAACTCCAAGTAGCTCATTAAAGCAGTTCYAATATTTTTGAAATAAACCAATGTTTGATGTCAGTTCCCAGGCAAATTTCAGAGAGGAAATAAACATTGGTCAATAAAGCCAAGTTCTCAGCAATATTTGAAATCAGTGACTCAAGCTAATTCCGCATGCAGATCCACATTGATACAATGTTCCAGTCCTGTAAAGCTACACTGGAATCAGTTTCYAGCAAGTCTCCAACTACGTTCCAGTTATCCTAAAAGTTACTTGCATTTTGTAGATGGAAGAATTACTGGGGCACATCTGAACTGGGAAGCAAACAAAACAAAAAGTCCCTACTTTTCTTAAAAGAAATTGTGTAGCAATCTGAATGACATTATGAGAGACCCACAGCATTCACCTTCATTGAACAGTGATTCTCTAGAGAGCTGATGAAAATGCCATTCTACAGCTTTTAAAAACTTGAAAACTTCACTGAATTGCTAAGGTTAGAAGACACCTCTTGAGATCATGTAATCCAACCTGCCTGCTCAAGCAGGATCAGCTAAAGCAGGTTGTCCAGGACTGTATCAAGCTGGGTTTTGATTATCTCCACAGATGGGGCTGAACATATTGTCTGGGCAATCTGCTCCAGTTTTGATCATAGTAAAAGAACCCGTTTTGTTATCAGATGGMATTYCATGTGTTTCAAWTTGTGCCCATTACCTCTTTTCCTGTCAGTGGGCACTACTGAGAACAATTTGACTGTCTCATCTGCAGTCCCACCCATCGAGGAATTATATATGCTGAAAAGATACCCCCTTGACTTCTTTTTTCCCAGCTGAACACTCCTGAAACTGTCAGCCTCTCCTGTGCACAATGCTTCAATCCCTTAAACATCATCTGAAACTTGTTTCATGTCCTTCTTGCTCCGAGAACTGGACTCAGCACTCCATGTGTCACCTCATCAGGGCTGCACAGAGAGGAAGTTCAGCCTTCCTCAAACTCCAGACAACTTACTTTAAATTACTGCATATTTACTCAGGTTGGAAGAAGAGATCACATTTAACCACTTTGGCATCTCTTATTTCCAGTGTTAGATTTCCAGTCAAGTAGAACTTTATCTAGAATAGAACACTAATTGGGTTGGCAGGACCTTTGGACTTCATCTGGTCTAAATGCCTTTGCTCAAAGCAGGTCTAACATTAAAGTTAATTCAGATTGCTCAGGCTTCATCCAAAGAAAGTCTGAGTATATCTAAGAAGAGCAGTTCTGCAACCTCTTTAGGCAACCTGTCTCAACCCTTGACTATCCTCATTTTGAATTTATTTAAGTCCAGTTGTAATTTTCCTTTCTCCATCTTGTATATTTTCTCATATATATGAATAATTTTCTAGTAGCAAGTAAAATTAACTCT